GTTTCAGGACAGGTTCTGCATCTTTGAGAATTTATTTTCTTAATGTCCACCCCTGTGTTCTGTCCCTGTAGTCATGATCTTGCTCATTAAGGATACAATTCTGAAATGCTGACCACTTCAGTTAAATGTCTTTTCCATACTGTTTCAGCTCCAGCTGCAAAGTCATTAAAGCTTCACTGCTGCTTGTGCTACCTGAGTTTTAGTGGTCAGATAACAGCTGGAATGATAAAAACCACGCACTGAAGGAAGTGCAGTGACTGCTGAGACAGCACTGGTGCAGTTGCCTCCTTGAGACTTTCTCCCTAGAACACACTTCAGAAGCCCTAAGGAGTTCTTTCTGTATGTTTTTTCATTCATTTCTTGCAGCAAGCTGAGTTCTGGCTCACACTGATTCTTCAGATGGCTCTGCATACCTTTTATTCTTATCCTGTTGCATTTAACAACAGTGCTACTTGTCAGCAGGTTGGCAGCCTGGGATCACTGGCTGTGGTTTGTCTCCTGACAGTCAGTGTTTGCTCTGACAGTCAACGTTGTGTAGGACTTGGTATTTCTCACCTTCTTTTCTAGCCTTCTGAGAATATACACTTTAGGTTTTAACATTTCATCAGCATGAAGCATTTACATGTTTAATGGTTTCTTAGTTTTCAAAACACTGATGAACCCAGAGTGCCTTTAAGACGCTGAAAAAAGCTGTGAGTCTTTGTCATTGTTCTAGTTTTTAAACTGGGCCTTGAAGATGGTCCTATAGAATGTGCCAAGGAGTGGCTCTGATCTCAGCCTGCTCACCAGTCAGCCCTTCAGAAATTGTCTGGAGGAGTGAAAGAAGAAAGCAAAGTGTTTTGCGTCCTGAACTAACTTTCCATGTTACTTTGCATCATGGCAGATTTGTAGCTGCTCTGCTCCAAAAACAGCTGATAAACTGAATCCTAATGAATCCCTTATCTTCTTATTGAAGAAAGAGTCAACACTTACAGATTGACTGGTTACAAAACCAGAAAATGAAAGTGAGTGAGACTGCTGATCTCTATCTGCTATTCTGCTAATGTGAATTTTCTGTCCAGGAGATGAACTGCCCGAGCTGGACAACATGGCTGACTACTGGTTGGGCTCCATCGCCAGAGCTACGATGCAGACTTACTGCGAGGTCATCCTGCAGATACCAGAGCTCACAGTGCATTCAACAAAGCAACTTTCCACAGACATTGGTAAGGCTGGTGCACGTGTTGTTCTGAGAAGTGTTGCTGTGGCATGTGGCCTCTTTCACTGCTTTAGGAATTGCAGTATGGGTTTCTCCTTTAGATGTGAGCGTGTTTATCTGGCACATTGCATGGAGGAGTGAGTGGTTCACAGCTTTTGCTGTGTTTGGTTGCATCTGTCTTTGATTAACTTACAGCCCTTTTGCACTGAAGGTGTTTGACTGAAGTTGCTTTCAGCATGGAGAAATCTTCAAGAGCAAAGTGAGAGACAGTTGGCATATATCTGCTTCTGTCTTCTCCCACGCCAACAGAGTGACTGAGGGAGGACTTATAGGAAGGTGTTGGGAAAGTGGTTCTGTAGTAATTTGAGGTATTTTTTTTCTTATCCTAAGCTCCTGAGAGTGTCACCACAAGACCACTGCAGTGATTGGTAACAAGTTACTTCCAAAGCTTTGAAAATGCAATTGTGATCTGTGACCATGGTGACTGACCACCCTGGGAATGTCATGGTGCAGATCATGAAACGTGGCAGAATGTGTCAGCCCTCAGAAGGGAACAGTTATCTACTAGTGTACAGGAAGCCAAAAATGCTCACCAGTACAGTTGGATTCCAGATACACTGTGGTTTTTCTGTGGTTTTGATCTAGCAGTGACAGAATTCTGGCTGTCATGAAGAACAACTTTTATTTGGGTGCTGCTTGCACAGAGCCTATTGCCCATTCAAATACATGTTTATCTTTCATCTTGCAGATTATCTAATAAATGTGATGGATGCCCTTGGCCTTCAGCCATCAAGAACACTGCAAAATATTGTAACTCTGTTGAAGGCAAAGCCAGAGGACTACAGGCAAGCTGCAAAAAGTGTGCCTCGCAGAATGGCCAGCAGCATTGCTGCAATGAGAGGCCTGGAGTGTTAGCTGTAATGTTGACACTGCTGGTCACAGCTGAAGGGCTGAACTGGTTGGGTTTTCATTTTAATTCCATATAAACTTTGTGAAGACTGTGAAAATGTCTCTGGAAACGAGAAGGATTTATTTCTGAATAACATCTAATAAAAGCCTTTGTCTAGGAAAAGCTGTTCCATTTTTCCATCTTTGAAAGTGTGGAAAGGTATCCTGCAACCAAATTTACCAAAAACTATCTAGATGATATTGAACAGTGCTGACTTGTAAGCAAAAATGTTCTGCTGCTCACTGGGAGGTCTGTGCTTCGTGGCGGTGAGATGACTGGCTTTGTCAGAACAGTTTAATCAATTCTGAATCTGAAATTATGGGGTAGGTGCAGCAGAGATCAACCGATTGGAAGCCCTCTTACCTGGGGGCGGTGGTCATTGCTCAAGTCTGTCATTATTCACAATGTGAAGAAGGCAGTCTCATCAGTTAGCAGAACAGGCATTATCAAGCTCAATTCTGAGAATAAAACCAGTTTTGTAAGTTGTTTTTTTTGAGATTGATGTGTTCTACTGAAGGCTGGGACGAGTGTAAGAAATCTAATGTGAGTTTTGTTTTCTTGTAGAATTCATTAAAACCAGGTCTGCCAGATCTGTCCCTCTTCTCCTGCAACCCTGTGCGTGTTTCTGTCTCTCAGACATTTGTGTTTAATAGCACACGTGTGATGTGCACATACAGGCTTATATTTTACCAGGTGTATTCTTAAGGTGAAAGTGGGTGCCTTTGCTTTTCTCACCTGGACTATGGTGATGTTTTACTGACCGAAAAAAAAGTAATTTAAGGAAGTGAAGAGAGCAGGTGTGCTTCATAAACAGTTTTTGGACTTTGCTCTGAAACATTTTTGGTTCCAAAATCTGTGGGAAATCGAAGTATGTTTTCTGTTACACTCTTTTCTTGTTGATGTTTTCAATTAAATTATTATTCTCCTTGTTTGAAAGCATGACAAGTCTATTCAGGAATCTTCCAGTGAGGGGGAAATCTGTTGCTGGAGCTTCTCAGCCTGTTTGGCTGTGCTTTGTTCCTGTGCACAGCGAGCCGAGCCTTCCTGCGGCTGCAGCGAGAGCAAACCCTTAACACACGTACACTTATCTGCCTGATGCAATCAGTCCATTTGGGGGAGAGAGCTAAACTAGTAAAGAGCCTAAGTCAAGTACCTGAGACACTTTCCACTTTTATTAGTTGTCAGACGCCCTCAATAAACCAGCAGTAACTGGCATAGTAAACTGTCCATGTCCTGCCAGAGTACACGCTGTTCCAATTCGCCATCGGGGTGAGAGGGGCGAATCTCATTGTTTGTGCCTCTCCCATCTTTTTCCTGCCTCGCAACTGGAAAGTGAGGGTTTCTGAGGCTGTCTCACCTGCTGTTACTGCAGTGCAGAGGGCAAATGGCCCTGGGCAGGCGCCCAGCTGGGGCCAAAGGTGCCTGGAGCTGAAGCTGCTGGGGCTGGGACCAGCGCTGCCTCGTGCTCTCACTGCGGCAGCAGCAGCTCAGGCTGGGGCCATGTAGGTTCCCAGTGTGTCCAAAAGCATCTCAGCCTGAAACTTTAAGGATTGAGTCTTATGAAATTTAAGGTTGTGAATATTCTAGTGTGTTGTTACCTTGCAGCTGTACCTGCAGCAGCCCTAGACTGGATATGCACTTGTAATTAACGGATTGACTTTTTCAAAGAATTTTGAACACTGAATTTCCTTGCAGAGAAGATGCATCAGTGATAGTGCAGCTTAAGCAAAGGAGCCACTGTCCCCAGTAGGCAAATAGAAGGAATCATCAGCGCTCACAATTGCAGATATAAATAGGACAATAAGAAACGGTGATGCTGTTTGTTCTTCATATACCTGCTCCCTTCAGCTCCTCGCATTCTATGCCTGTAACCCTGCTGTGGGTAACCTGGAGGTGTTTTCCTGTGAGGAGGGTGAGGTGCAGCCCCTGCTTGCTGATCACACAAAGCCTGGATCTGGAGACCCATCACTTCTTTGGCCCTTCAGTAGCCAAGGGAACTTGAGTCACAAAAACGATTTACTGTTTGAACACTCAGGGACTTCGTGCTCCAGGCAATTAGTCAAGGTAAATCTGTCCCTCTGTATCTTTCTTTGTTTGTTGATATGCGCAGAAAAGGAAATGTAAGCATAAAGGCTGTGGGCAGCAGTAACTGGTTTTAGCCCATGTGAATGTGGCAACCTGGAACAGCCTGCTTTAAGAACAGCTTGTCGTGGGAAGCTGCTGGGATTTCAAGCACTTTGCTTTTCTGACCTGTGCTTCCACCTGTGTGCATGCGGGCTGGGACCCTTCACCTGTCAGAAACATAGCAAATGGGCTGTGCAAATGGCAGGAACAAAAATGGGGAAAACAGAGCAGTGAGCTCTGCGAGAAGCAGCATTTCACCCACTTGTTTCCATACACAGTAGTCACAGTTTGGTGCTTAGTGTGCACGAGATGAGGTGCTTTGTGCTATGGACATGTGTCCAGATATGGGAGCACTGTGGGAGGTGGTTGGTGGCAGCTGGGCTCACTGCCTCTGTGGGCAGCACTGAGACCTGTGGGCAGGGAGGTGCTGGGACCCGCGGCTGCCGTGCTGGGAACCGTGCCCAGGACATCATGTTCTTGGGCCTATGATTTAACCACACGATCGTGTTTCCTCTTGAAGTTGTGCACAGGTACTTCAATAACGCAGATCGTTGGCGTGGTGGTGGTGGTGGTAGTGGTGGGCATGGAGGCCCTGGGGAATGTGTGGTGTGAACACAACCAGGCATGGGAACCAATGTTCCCAGATCAGCCCCTCGCCCACGAGCTTCTGCTCAGCACCTGCTGCCAACAGGAACCACTCCAATGGAGACTTTTCAATGAATTAGTTTGTTTATTGCTGAGAATGGCACTGTGAATGGCTTGGCACTTCCTCCCCGCACCTGAAGCATTATCGCATCTGGAGTATTTATCTCTGACACACATTAACTGGCATGCCCACCTGCAGGCAGCATTAACAGCTCCCGAGCAGCAAACCCAGACTACAAACAGAGCGTGCGAGGCCTCCAAGCAGCAGAGGGATGTTCTTTCCACTCTGTTTACATTAGCGTCACTTAGACGTGGAAATACCATGACCTCAAGCCAAAAGCAGCTTAGATCCTGTGGTTCAGCCCTCAGTGCAGACCCCTTGGAGCACTGGGCATGCTGTCCCCAGGTAGCGGACTGTAGTAATTCCTGCCTGCCCTGTGCCTGCCTGCACTGCCTGCCAGCACTGCCTCCTTGGCCCCAGCATCTTCCAGCTCTGCTGCCCCCAGCTGCTCCCAGGAGCTCAGCACCCGCTGAGCTGGAGCTGTGCACAACCGTGTTGTGTTGTAGAGAAGTAACAACCCACTGCTGTGTACCAGCACCGATTCATACCAGCTCCATGTGCTAAAGCCAGAGCACGATGCTGACTGAGATTTACTGCGGGATTTATTAGATAGAGCTTCTTCGGTGAGTTTTAGGGGAGGGGAGGAGGCAGGGCTGCCAGCTCCCTGATTTGGATGGAGCTCTGGAGGTCACTCAGCCCAAACTGAGGCATCCTCATGGTGGTTGGCTGCAGGACGCTGCTCCTCGCTCTCAGTGTCGCTGTCTGTGCCTGGGTTGTGAGGTGGCTGCACGCGCAGTGAGTCGTAGTTGGGCGGGGGGGTGCCGGGCTCGGGGGGCAGTGCCTCTTCCTGTGTTGCATTGCTGGCCTCCTCGTGCTGGAAGCCCAGGTTGGTGTGAGCCTCCACCAGCTCCGACACCGTCGGCGGCATGTCTGGGTACTGTGCCCGCGCGCGCTTCTGCTTCAGGCCTTTGCACCAGCTGATAACGTTGATTACGGTGATCCACAGCGAGTCGATGATGATTTCCCCAAACTCAATGAGGCACAGCACGGAGCCCCCCATCCAGAACCCGAACTGACCTCCTAGGCTCGACAGCAGCCACACGATCTGCAGGTAGGAGCAGGGAGGTGATGTCATTGAGGCCGAGTTCGTGGCACAGCACCGCAGCAGCACCGCGCGGACACTCACCGTGGTGGCAGCTGACTCTGAGATCGTCCGGTAGTTGTACTCCTGGAAGTAAATGTTCAGCTTGATGATGCCGTTCCTGTAACACACAAAGCAGGAGCTCCGAGCAAACCTGCACCACAAGTGTTCCACACGTGCATCTCATCTGCACGTGGGGATGAGCTGCTCCGAGCCATGCCGTACATGCTTGCAATGCAAACTTCTGCCTGGTGCAGGGAAAGGTTAACAAGTGCTCCCAGCCATGTGCTGGGGTAGACACGGTTCTGCTCCTGAGCAAGCAAACACGTGTACCTAGAGCCTTCTGTGGGGCTGTCTGCTTGGGTTTTCCCCACCTCAATCAGCCCAGAGCCCCTGCTCAGTCCCTGCTGTTCGTGCTCTGGGGGCATCAAGGAGCTGATGGCCTGAGTCCCAGGTAATCACTGCTCATTGTCTGCCCTGCACTCAGCGGGTCACAGCGCACACACAGCATGTGGGAGCCGGGGTGGTGCTGGTGGGTGTTTGCTCACCGTGCACAAGTTGAGCATCCCTTTGTTTCACTGTTTTGTTTTCAAGGCCTGGCATGAGGGCAGGACTGGGTTAGGGCTTTGTACCACCCCAGAAGGCTGTGTTGCAATGTGTGGGTTAACGCGAGGCCTCCACAAGAACTGGCTTGTCAGGCAGGCTAAGCTGTTTGTGCTCCTACATCTGGCCATTCCTTTTCTCCCCACAATTCAGGGCTTGGGTTATCAATGGATAACTCATCGGCTCCCCTGGCTGTGGTGCAGCCCCGTCCTGCTGCTGTTGGCAGAGCATACATGGGTATAAAGGGCCGAACGCAGTCATCCACGAGCTGAACCCCAGCTGCTCAGCGCTTCAGGCTGCTGCGTGCACCCGATTGGTATGTGTGGTTAATGTTCCTTTTGCTTTAGCTGTGCATTTGGGTCTGCGTCCGACCCAGCTTGCTCCAACGGGGAGCAGAGCATGTGCGTGAAGCGCAGCTGAGCATCGCTTTATGTGTCTTCCAGGCAAGCGCGTGCCACAGCTTGTTCTCCCGTCTGCGTGAGCGCGTGTGCTCTGGCTGCTGGCCAAGGCTCATGTAAATCTAATGTTAACAGGCGCAGCAGAGAAGATAAAGTGGTTGTTCCTTTCACTTACCTGTCCAGAGTCACATTTGTTGACATATCCCTTTCATAAGACAAAATATGGAAAATCCAGTCCTAGGAAAACAGAACTCGTTCAGAACCGAGGAGCAGCATTCTGGTTAAGCACTTGCCAGGGCAGGAGCCCAGCGAAGGAGGAAACCTGTCCTGAATAGTCCTGTTCTAACGCAGCTCTGTTGCATTACAGCACGAGGAAGGGTTGCGCAAGGCGGTGCCACCGTAGCGTTTCACCCCTGGTGCCAGGCTCTGTTTGCTGGCTGAACATGAACGTGTGTAATTGAGCGCCGAGGCGCAGGCTACCTGAACATTAGCTCTAAAAATACGGAGTGATTCACACAGCTACCAACAGGTGGTTATTAATGGCTGCTACAAAACAAGAAATTGGAGTTACCTCGGAAGCCTCAGAGGGCCAATCTGCCATGGAGATGGTCATCTTGTACTGCGTGTCACTGGAAAGAGGAAAGCAGAACGTGAGTACCGGGCTTCCCCTGTTGGGAGTCACTGGGACTTCAGTGCCATTCAGACAGCAGCCCCACGTGGGTTTCTGCAATTGTAAAGAGGTGAGGATTGATGGGAGATGAAATGCAGGATTCCCTCCACCGTTACAGCTGCCAGAAGTGGTTTAAGCACTTACTTGCATGTTTCCTTACAAGAGTCAATGCAAATTTGCCTGTGTCTTATACTCGATCTCAGTGATGAATAGCAATATGCTGTTTGGTGAAAACAAAAAGTCAAAGCATCAGTTTAGATAAGAACCCCACTTACTGGATTACATTAATTTCCCGTAAGCAGTATTCAATACGAGCGTGCTGCACAAGTTTGCTTTCATTCCTCTAAGAGAAACTCACACAAAGCAGCAGCATCCAACCGAGTGCCCTTCTGCAGGCAGCACTGAGCCGAGGGCCTGAGCAGAGCAAGGGCTGCAGTGCCAGCAAAAGCAGTTCAGCTGCAGGACTTGGAGCAGCAGCGAGGCACGGTCTGATCCCTCCCTCCTCACGCCCATGCCCTGGGAGCTCTATGGATGGTTTTGTTCTTGTCCTTACCCCAGCCAGGGTTATCTTCGTTATTGCAGTAAGTTACCCCTTCTGGTAAAGGAAACATGTAGTGACCACAGCCACAGATTTCTGTCATGTGGTTCTGGAAACAGGAGCGTAGGCAAGCCTGGAAAAAGGGAGGAGGGAGCTGCTTACAAGGGGGATGTACTTTCCTATGTTGCTTTGAGAACTGCCCTGCTCCAGGCAGGGGTTCCTCCTTGCTCCTCGCTGTGGTTCTCCTGCACAGAGCAGAATGAGGCTGTGTGTGGTCAGAAGCCAGCACTGCTGTGGGGCTGGGCTGCAGCCCCTCACAGGTAGTGCTGCAACTGCAGTCGGTCACCCAGTGGGGGCTGCACTGGCAAGATGAGGTGGGTGAATCTGCCAGCATGTTTGTAGCTGCTCTGCAATTACGCTTTTCTTTATGGTGCATTTTTACTACTACTCTGGATTTTAGAACATGTCGTAGTGGCAAGTTAAATGGACGTAATTCACCTTGCAGGCATAGAAGGAGCTAAATGCCTGCTCCTGGGCACAGAAGAAACTAGTTATTGTAGGGTTCCGTGGCAGCAGTGCAGAGCTTCCAAAATGGAATAAAAATGCCCTATTTTATCCACAGACGGAGCTGTTGTCTCCAGGCTGACAAAGGGCTGGTTTTCACTTTAAAGCCAAGGCTTTAGAAATATGTTGATATAAAGAGCAGGTTTTAGAAATCTGAATGATCTCATCTGGGCATCTGCTTCTCTCCTTGCAGGGAGCACAGCTGCAGCCATGCCAGGATGCCATCCAGGGCTGCAGTGCCGTCAGCTCAGCGAGGCGTGACGTTAATCAGCAGAGATCCGAGTGGGATTTCTCATGAAACAATGCACAAAGCAATAACAAAGTCTATGAGAAGATAATTGAATTTAAGAGCTTTGGCGAAGCAGGGCGAGCGGAGAGTGTCTGCGTGATAAGAAATGCATATAGAGTTTGCTATGAAAAAGGTTTTGCTGAGGGGTCTCTGAAGGGACGTGAATGATGTGGGCACAGGAGCACAGTGAGCATTTAGCAGCTTCTAAGTAATAATGCAATCATTTCAAGTATTTGCTTAAATGTTATTTAAGCGTCTTAGAAGGAAAGGTGAAGTGTCCAATTGTTGGAATTATATAAAGGCAGAAATATATATGTAAAAAAACCTTGCTAACCAAAGCCCTTCAACCCATCCAAGATGTATCCCTCAGCCATCTGTAAATAACCCCAAAATGGTTTTGATGTTTTCCTTATTGCATGGTCTCACCCCTCAGAACTGCTTCTCCCTTCTGTTATTGCCTGTTACAAATTAACCAGTGCTCCATGTTTGCTCTATGTTTTTATTAGGGAGTCAAGGTTTACAAACACTCCAACTTTCTCATCCCAATTTTAAAGTGAAGAAAAGACAAAGCTCTGTCTTCACATCCCGCACAAAACAAATGGCCTTCTCAGTGTGAGAAAGGACTTAATTCTCTTGAGAAGAGAATGATTAAGAGGAGCAGGAGCAATCCCTGTGGCATTCATCCCAGTGGGGATAAACCCTATTCCTTGCTTCGTGAGCTGCATCACAGTGAGAATGGTGGTTGTCTGCCAAAGCAGCGGTGCTAACCTCTTGATGTAAGTCTTAGTAATTGTGTTATTAGGTTTTCATCCTGCAACACAGCATTATTTCCACCGGATTATTTCCAAACCTGGGGCTACTGCATGTTCGGACTTGAGTTCTGAATTACTGCGCTTCCTTTGCTGTCATTGCTGAGGCTGTGGGAACCTGGAATGCCTGGCACAGATTCTCACTGCTTTGAGGATTTTCCCTAAAAGCCTTGTTCGATTTGCAGTCACGTTTTACCTGTATGGAATAGGAAGTATTGTATTCGCTGTAGAGGTTCTTTACTGGGACGTCAGAGCCGTTCATGGTGCAGTCGCTGTATGGATAGCCCATCCGCTCCAGCTCGTCCTGGAGGAAAACCCAAACAGCAAAGCTCTGAGCTATGCCCACACACACAGGAGGAGCTACGCTTCTGGGGCTCCCGTAAGGCTTTGATAAAGCACTTTGCCAGGACAGTTACATAAAAGTCTCCATAAACCGTTCCAGCCCACAGCTGGTGTGTGCCTTGACTCTTTTGGTTTGAGCCAGTTCAGCCAAGACTTAAAACAAACTTGGTTGCGGTCCCATCAGATAACATTATTCTCAGACAATCTGCTCTAGAGGAATGCCACACATACCACTAACACACCGATGGAGGTTTCTGTCCCAGCCATCGCGTAGATGCCCTGATCCTTAAGGAATGGGAAGCTCTTCTGTTGGTGCAGCATCAGCCGTGCCCCGGCGGCAGACGACAGGTAGGGGATGTAGTCCTGCTGGCTGATATCCAGAATTAACTTCAGCCCTGTGACAGCAGGCAAAATATTCAGAACGGGAAACTGGAGCCTTTGGTTAAAAAAAACCACAAGCATCTTTTCCTCTCAAAATCTCATTTCTTGAGGGGAGAACCCATGTCTGTCTGTCGCATCACCCTTACGTGTGCATAAATACACTTGATGGCAAATGCACAGCATGGAAGTATCCCATTGAATGTTCATCCATTCCCTCATGCTTTGGCTAGCCAAACGTTACACTTCCGCTAGCTGCAGTCACACCAATTGTCTCTATGCTGTCAATTTCCCTGTTGGGAGCTTATTCCCTCTGGAAAAAGTTACTCCATGCTATAGGGTTCTAGAGAAACAGACATCATAGATCTGTCACAGGTAACAGCAGTTGCCATTGAGAGACAGAACAGTTCCCAGCACTTCTGTTGCTTTAACTCTTCCTGCTTCAGTGGAGCTTTCTCTTACCAAACTCGGCTCCCGGGTTGGAAGAATTCAAAGCCTCTTTGTCCATGCCCCAGTTAAAGATGTAGCAGTTACCATGGTCTGGGTGATAGATTTGGGTGAAATTCCTGGAAGAATCGTATGCATCAAACTGTGATTCAGGGAGAACTAAAGGGTTATAAAACGCTGCATCTGGTGAGGCTGGATTTGGGCAGCTAGGTCTGGGATTCGCTTTAAATTGCTTCATTTGTTCAACACTTGCATAGAAATTTCAGCTGACTTAATTTCAATCAATCTGCTTTTGAAAAGAAGAAAAGCCAGGTACTGGCATGGGCTGAAGCACAGCTGGTGAAGATAACGATTTGTCGTAATGGAAAAGAATACTCTGTCATGCACATGAGACCAAAAAATACTGGCTTGCTCTGAGCTCTGGTAACAGGCTTTGGCTGGTGTTACACCTCACTCTTTGACAATAGCTCTCTGTCGTCGTCTGTGCAGAGGTGGCATTGCTGGCAGGGCTCCGTGCAGCCTGGGCTGCTGCTGTGCGCCCATGTTTATCAAAACTGTGTGTAAATTTGGCCCTCACAAGAAACAGAGATGGATAAAATGCATCTCTCAGAGCCTCGTGTAAAAAGAGAGAGCAAAACCGAGGGCTGTGCTGACTCAGTGGCAGCTGATTATTGTTAAATACCTCGGGAAGCCCTCATGGGTGCTGGTAAGTCACAAGCCAAACAGCCCATCCAAAACTAAAACTCAAGCCAGTGCTATCCCCTAATACTGTTTCAGCCAAGATCACGTCCAGAAACCCTCTGGGAACTGCCATTAGACTTAAGGACCAGAGGAGATCTTTCCATTAACTGATCTATAAAAAGGCTGTTGTGCCTTTAGAGTCCTACACCATCCCTGTGTGCCAGGAAGGGCAGGATGCTGCTCAGCGTTCACCTACTTGTAGTTGCAGGGTTCGGCCCCATAGAGACACGCCAGGATCATGTCTTCTGCCTGGTAGCCCATCCTAATCCTTTCCTGCAGAGGCACTTTGGACAGGATGCTGGTGGACTGCAGGATGTACCACTCGGTCACCGCCTGCGCCGCGCTGGTGAAGTTCCTGTAGGTGCAGTTGTTGGAGCCCTGGTGGCTGCACTGGAGACACACACGGTCAGGTCTCCCCGTTCCCCCCAGGGCACACCCTGCTCCGTGCCACCCCATCCACTGTCCTCACGAGAGCAAAAAGCACGGCCAGGGGAGCTGTGGAAGCAGCGGTCTCAGCTGGGTGTGCTCAGCAGGCACTTCCCTGGGACATTTCTCTGCTGGACAGGTGCTCCATTGGCCCCAGCAGTTACCAACGCATGCTTACACTGATCATCACATAGAGGCTTAGAAATACGTTCAGCTACACGCTTTCAGCAGCACACCCTTACCAGCTTCACCGCCAGCTTGTACTTCTTCTCTTCCGACGTCACGTTGGTGGGGGCAGGAGGGGCAGCAGTTTGGTTCCCTGCAGCGCTTTGGTTGGTCTCGAAGATCTCCACGATGACTGGGTTGTCCTTGTCCTGCTCATCAATGAGCACCAGCGGGATCTGGTTCCAGAGCTCCAAATCCAGCCCCTCGGTGGTGTTGCTGCCGTTCAGCAGCAGGGGTGAGATGGGGTCCCCATGTGTGGGCTGCAGGATCCTCTCCAGCGCCGCCTCGATGAGCTTGTCCAGCTCCTTCAGCAGGGGCTTCACCTCCGAGTACCTGCAGGGACACAGGGGGAAGGTGGGCAGTGCACGGCAGCCCCCACAGCAGGACCCTGTGCTGCAGATGTGCTGCACAGCAGCAGGACGCACCAGCAGCCAGAGGCACAGGGACCCCGTGCTGCCAACCTTGTTGTGCTCACGCAGAACTGCACAGCTGTATTGCGGTGATTTGCTATAGTTTACACAAAACACTTCTTGTAAGGAGAGAGGAAAATCAACAGATCTCTGTGTGTCAATCAGGAGCATCTCACCTTGCATGACTCTGGGTATAAATTTGAAGCGGCTCTACCAAAGATCTGTTGCCTCTTTGAAATCACAGCTGAATTATATTACTGTAGCTCACGGCAGATACCGCTGTTTAACTAGCTCTTAATGGCTGAGTGTGTGATAAGAGAGACGTTCATAGCGAGGAAAAACGAAAGAAAGGAATTGTGGGGAGAGATCACGAGACTGATTTGGATTGTGACAAGTTAGCTGAACTTCAAGTTTTCTCTGAGCCAGGGAAAGTTTACAAGGAGGCAATAACCATTATTAGATTAACTGATACGGTAATGAGAACAGACAAACCCGCGGGTACACAAACCCTTCCCTGGATCCGAGCCAATCGTTTTTATACTGTGCTCGTTTGTTTGCTTTTCAGTGCCACTCCGTGAGTCAAAGGACCATTTTCACTGATGCTCCTAATGTCATATCTGAGCCAGGAACAGACCCATGGATCTTCTGCCAGCAACACAACTGAGCGTGCTAATGTGAGCTGGAGGAAGGACAGCTTACTTGAAGGGGTTGGCATTGCAGACTGTGACTGCTGGGAACTTCATGGTCTTAAAGCCGATAGAGAGTGATGAGGTGACGTCGTAAGAGAGGTAGGTGTTGATGAGGATTCCCCACTGCCAGAAGACCAAGGAGGCGAAGAGCAGCGTTAGGAAGAACCACATGACTTTCTTCTTTGGCCCCTCCTTGATGATGCGCTTGGGGCCGTGCGTGTTGGTGTTGTCGCAGTACCAGACCAGCAGCTCTTTGTAGGTGTAGCCAGGGCCCTTCTGGAGGCGGTGCAGGGCCCGGACAAAATATTTCTTCAGATTCATCCTGGTATCTGCAAGTGGGAAAATGAGGTCAGAGCAGCTGCTGGGAGACACAGAGCTTGCATCGCCGTGTGCTGACATGGCTGTGGGTCACAGCCTGGGAGATGTGGGGCAGCCCATTGGAGCTGCTCACATGCTGCAGTGGAGCTGGGCTTGGTGCTCAGCTCCCATGGGGCTCAAAAGAGTTTTTCTTAAATGGACGAGGAGAAAGTGTTCAGGTGTACGAGAACAGTGGGAGACTGGGAGGAGAGGATTTAAAAGGGCAGACTCTTTCCCAAGACCAAGAATGCTGCTCAGTGTGTGCTGCCTGCCAGAGGAAGAACAATAGATGTGGTTTTTTTTTTTCCACCAAATTCCTTTGTCTTTAAGATAATATCGGTATGTTTCGACTGCTCATGTGAGGGATGCTGCATATTTTACATTCATATTGTGAGTAAATAGAACATTTTGTGCTGCTATTTTTGAGGCGAGAATTTGTGTTACTAAATCTTAATATCCCAGGGCAGGATTTCAAAACAGTCAGCTACCTGGAGGATTCCTCAGCCTTCAGCTGTGGGAGAACAGAACCAGAGATAAATGTTGTGCCCATCACAGCACCCTGAGCTAATAAAGCACTATTTCCATTGAGGCATGAACCTGCGGCAAGAGGCGCAGAGCAAATGCTGCACTTTTGTATCTGAAAAAAGTCACTGCTACCAGGCTTGAGCCTGCCTGCCTCTGTGTTCAGTTCTACAGGAGTCATGCACACATTTAGTCTCCATCTTGAATTAATTTCTGTTTAACTGCCAAATCTGAGAGTGCCGTTACTGGCTACTGACAGCAATGGGAAGAGCTGTGGTAGCAAAGGCAAATCTGCTTCACATGGAGCTTAATGAGGGTTTAAGGATCAGGAGCCTCCCAGCTTGCTTCATTTGCTCAGCAGCCATAAAAACACTGCACTGAAGAATGGCATTGTCACTTTTTAAAGTTACATTCATAGAGTCATAAAACATCTTGGGTTGGAAAGCACCTCAGAGATCATCCATTTCCAACCCATAGACAGGGTTGCCAACCCACAAAGCAGGCAGCAGCTCAGGCTGCCCAGTGCCCATCCATGGCCTTGGGCACCTGCAGGAATGGGGCACAGCAGTGCCTGACTGCCCTCTGAGTGAAAAACCCCCTGCCATCCCATCTCAGGGGGCACTGCCACTGCCTCCACCTCCCTGCGGCCACAATCCCAGCACCATCCCAATGAAACTCCTCCACATCAATGGTGAGATCAGGCTCCCATGTTACGAAATGACAGTGCTGGCTGTGTTTAACTCGCTCCTGGCTCTTCCCAGGGCATTCACCATTTACAGGAAATAAAGACATCAGCAAAACTCAGCACACTGCTGGAAACTGTAGGGTGATACTGGGGCTGTAAAATCACCCCAGCAGCGCCCAGCCCTGATACTGCAATTACTGCTCACTTTCTCTGCTGAGGCATACTGCAGTCACCTTCTCTGCTCACACACCGTGTTCTCCAGGGCTGGAGGAGCAGCAGCTGTCAGCAAGAAGCTGGCCATGTCCTCCTGGGGAGGGCAGTGATGCTCTCCAGTGATGCTTTTGCAGCTCATGGAGAAGGCTTTTACCCCATTTTAAGTTCACGGGATGGCAGTTAGCAGGAAAGTGGAGTGGCACTGCCCATGGAGCCCCCAAGCCCAGGGCACAGCATGCCCAGTGGGGTTGGTTCTGCCCTGCTCTGGCCCTGCAACAATGCAGCAACCACCAGCTCACGCCTGCTATGTGCCTCCCAACCTTTGCCGAGTGTGCACGGAGCTGAGGAGCAGCTCCAGGCAGAGGTGAAAAGCACCACCTGGCTCCCTGCAGTGGGTTCAGTGCCTCATCCATCCCACCTCTCCTTGCCCCTCCACTTCCCACAGTATCACTGTCTCCAGGGGCAGTGAGAAGCCTCACTCTTCGCACGACAGCACAGTCACATTGCTGAGAGTCAGCTCCGCAGCTTGGGCACCGAGCAATGTGGATGCCATGGTGCGGAGGGGCAGAGCCCCCGGCAGCTGCCCCCAGGCCCGGAGCAGGAGCGTCCCCAAAGGCAGCGGACAGAGGAAACGCCCAGAGAGCTGCGGTCTACTTCCATCCCTCTTATCGTGGAGATTAAGGTATGAAAGCCGTGTGTAAACAGAGAGTAAATCAGAACGGCTGCACCCAGCAGCACGGCGCATCCAGGGCGCCGCTGGCACCGGGAGCTGCGCTGCTGCCAGAGCGTGTCGGGGCCGGTGGCTGCGAGTCAGCCCGGGAGCTCACCCTGAGGAACTCCGTGACTGAGTGAGCGTTTCTCATCCCACAAAAAAATGTCAACAAAGAACTACGCTTAAATATTTTTTCTCCCTCTATGAGCAATGCTACACCTGCCGGGATGGTAACCCACGGCCTTAGCTGTGAGAGGCAGAACAGCACTGGGTACACGTTATTACAGTTCGGGCGGTTCACAGACGCCCAGAGCGCCGCACCGCTCGGCTCTGAACACCGGCAGAACGCTCTCGGCCTTTCCTACCCCCTCCGATCACCCCCAAGTAATTTCTAACAAACACTTTAGCAGTCGGCGTTGGGGACGGGCGGCTCCGTTCAGCGCTCCTCGCCCGGCTCCGCACGGCTCTGCCCGGCTCCGCTCACTGCGGGGCAGCCACGCAGGAACAGCCCCCCCCCCAACAGCTCCCACCGGGGCTCCTCCGAACCGCCGCCTCCCCCGCGCCCCGCGCCCGCCGGCCGCCGCCAGAAGCCGCGGGACGGAGCTCGGAGCGTGGGAAAGCAGCGGACGGGATGATGATACGCGGCGCGCAGCCGGCCCGGCGTTGCCCATCCCCGCCGCCCGCTGCCCGTACCTGCTCCGCCGCGCTGCGCCCCGATGCCGCCGGGCCCCGCCGCGCCCCGCCCCTCCTCCCGCCCCCCGCCCCGCACAGCATCCGGAGCCGCCCAGCGCCGCCGCCCGCGCTCCTCCCGGTGCTGCTCCCCGCGTCCCGGCCCCGCGCCCCGCGCCTCCCCCGCTGCAGGCACCTCCCGCCGCGTTTCCCGACGGGAGAACGGCGGAGCGCCATTGGAAGGAGGCCCGCACCGGGGCCGGGTGGGCTGCGCTGTTAGCGCCGAGCCGTGCCCGCCTGGGGCTGCCGGGAGCTTTGGCACCGCGCGGGCGGTTCCGAACGACTCGATTTTTTTTGTCAAAAATCGGTTATGGTTGTTTTTTGTTTTTTTTCCCCCCTCTCACTTTTTTTTTTCTTTCTTTCTTTCTTCTTCTTTCTTTTTTTTTGGAGGCCCCTTGGCAGCTGTGTTTAGCAGCAGGACGCTGCTGGGCACGCTTTCTCGCGGGTGTTTTGTACACCGCCGCCTTCACGTGCGGACTATGGGGAGTGTTGATGCTTAACCAGAAGGCAGCGGAGGGGCACGGCGGTGCCCCTCTGCTGCCGGGACGAGCGACCTCTGCCTCGGTGACACGACAGCAAAGCCGCACTGCCGCAGTGAGGGGATAACGCCCGGCGCATCCCGAGCGGGGACCGGGAGTGAGGGGCCCTTAGAGCCATAAATCACCTCTCAGCGTTGTAAAACACGGTTGCTCCTTGCGAGGAAAAGTAATCATAGCTGTGTGTTCGGTCAGAACTCCGTCAGACCTTTCTGAGTGTCCCCACGTCTGTTGTTTGGGAACAAAAGGGATTTTTATTTCTAAATTGCACAAGAACACCTCCTGCCGTGAGGTCAGACGTGGAATGCAGGATCGTATTTAAGCAGTGTTTTCAGGTGAAGCCAGAACGAACAGGTTTGGTAGTGAACACCAGCACTCACCCGGCCTCCATCCTGTCAAAATAATCGCCCTTCTATTGCTGCTGATCTCCCCACAAAACAACATCTGCTAGCAGCACTAGCAGCCCTGATGCTGAGCACAGAGCAGGCTGTGTTTGTTCCATGGTTTGAGCACAGCCAGTGATGGAGGTGACCTTGAGTTTTGCTCGGCCTGCTGTCGTGTCTCCTGCTTGCTTTCTGAGAAAGTTTACTTCATAAGCAGAAACCTGCTGCTAAAAACACAGCTGGGAGGCAGGCGGCAGTGCCCCCACGCCATGGCATTGTGCTCCTGCTCTGTGTGGCAGGGTGTGATGCACTGCTGGTGGCTGCTAAACACAGCTGGGAAATGGGATCTGGGGACAATCCGTGCTGGAAGCATCAGCTGGCCTTGGCTGTGTCTGGGAAGGTGAAAATGTTGGAATGATAATGGTATAAAGAAGGTTGCAAAGGCTTCTGGGGTGGCTTCTAGGTTGAGGTAAGGATAAAGAAGTGCAGAGCTGCTCACATCAGAGCCTGAGTTGGAGCACCTGGGACATGAACTGGAACCCCTCAAAGCTGCTGGGTGGGACCCATGTCAGCCATGGACAGGGCACACAAGTCTGTAACTGCCTCCATTACCCATGTCATGCTGTGCTGCTCCTGGCTGAGCGCTGCCCTGCACAGGGGGTGGGTGCAACTCCACAGGGTTCCCCTGCTTCTGCTGTGCCCACAGTGCCCATAGTGCCACCTCTGGGGCCATCAGATGGGGTCACAGCACTGCACCCTGAGGACACTGACCTCCCACTGTGATCTCTGGCAAGGAGATGGGAAAGCAATAGCAAGTGCTGCAGGTGCTGTAGTTTGTTACTGTGCATTCGTTTGAGTGGCCCCAGGCTGCACACCCCCCCCAGCTTGGCACAGCGCTGCCGGTGCACGGCACAGGGGCTGCTTGGTGGCAGCAGACAGGAGCTGCAGGTTGCTGTGTAACACTGCTCACTTCTGCATTGGTCACTTCTAGCCGTGTGCCTATGGGACCAGGGGGGCAGCACTGCCCGCACTGCCCTCACCCTCGTGTCCCTCACTGCCCGTGGAAATGGCATCACCTGTTCCTACACATGGTGCAAAGAGGCTAATTCAGCACTTTAATCGCTTGTTTTATCAGGTGCCCTTTCAGAAACAACGCCATTACTAAACAAAATAATGCAGCGAGTAATTTAGTTTCAGCCCGTAAAGTTGCAGTCAAAAGATACTGAGCATCCGACCTGCCGAGCTGTTACACGGGCAATCGCTGCGTATAAAACCTTTTAACTAATCTCTGTTTGCGTTACAAAGATCAGGCAGTAAAATGGAGCCTAGTGAGGTTTACAGCCGGATCGCTGCCCGCGGGGCTGCCGGGCCGTCCCCATGCACTGCGCTGTGCGGCACCGAGGGACAGGAGGGGGAATGGGGGGGGGGGGGGGGGGGGGGGGGGGGGGAAGGTGCTGTGATGGGGCAGAGATGTGATGGGGAGATGGGGTGATAAAGTGATGGGGCATCGGGGTCACTGCCAGGGCTGCTGGGGTGTGGTTTCCATGCACACCCTTTCCACGCACACCCCCTGATTTGGGGAGCTCCAACCATGCTGTTTGATTCAGAACGTGAGAGGGGGCAAACCTTATTTCAGTGCAAACTGACTGGTGAATGAACCTCAACCCACGGCTACACACATCTTTGTGCCTTAGAACTGCCAGCACTCGGACAATTTATCACAGGTGGAGATGTGATGGGGAATCAGCTGCAGCTATTTGCTTTTTCTGCCATAAAATTTTAGCAGAAAAATTAACTTGGTCGCGACTGTGCGGCGCTGCTGAGGCACAGCCCATAATACTATGCTATAGAGGGGGAGTGCTGCAGAGGGCCCCAGGGCACTGCTTTATGATCCTTTCCCATGCTCTGGGGACAATATGTAAAATATTTTGTGACCAATGAACTTTTATAACGAGAAGGAGACCGAGGGATGATTGCTCGCCGCAATTATCTCAAGGAACTCGTTGTACCTTTCAGGATTGATTATGTAAACTTGGGTGAGAAGGTCTTAAAATATAACAGAGGAAGAACTGTAGCAATATTGCCCTATGAAAACACCGTGATTCATGGTGACTCTGAGCGGCAGCGGGCTTTAGCCGTGCTTCACAGCGATTGCATCTTCTGCTGGGACCGCAGCGTGCTTTTAGTTTCAGATGAGTTAATGCAGTGAATGCGGACGTTTTTCCATCTCTGGGAGTATACCTGGGGAAAAGAATGAGGACAAAGACACAGCGGAATGGTCATGTCTCGGGATGCTGCATGAGGCTGGGCTTCCGCAGCCAGCTGGGAATCCCCAGGTCTGATTTGGGTTTCACAGATTGACTGGAAGGCACCAACACACAGACCGTGATGCAGGAGAGGACAGAACGCCCGAACACACCATCCATGGGCCCGGAGCAGGGCTGTTTTCATGTTTGCAGCTCCAGCTGTGTTGCAAGCAGGCTGGGAGCAGAGTGAGTCCCAGCTCAGCTCTGAGCTGAAGCATGATCTCAGCGTGAGCCAGGGGAAGCGCCGCATTAGCAAGAAACTCGCCGCGCTGCATTCCGTGGTGCTCCGCGCACGGCACAGCGCAGTGCCGGCCAGCAACCGTGCCATGCCGTGGTGCTCGGAGCGCCGGGTGGGACAGAGCCGGGTGGGACAGAGCATGCCCCATGTCCTACATCCGCGTCCATGTCCCGTATCTACGTCCCGTGTCCTGTGTCTGTCCCATGTCTGCTGTCCCTTGCTCACGTTCATGTCCCTTGTCTCCTGTCTCATGTCCTGCGTCAGTGTCCGTGCCCACATCCATGTCTCCCATCCCGTGTCTCTTGTCCCTATGTCCATATCCACATCCCCTATCTCACGTCTGGTGTCCCACATCCCCTGTCCCATATCCATGTTCATATCCATATCCCCTGCTTGTTGCTGTGGTCCAGCTGCCCTGGCCAGGTGCCCTCTGCCCTCTGTGCTCTCTGTGCTGTGTGCCAGCATCCCTGTTCTTAACCAAGGGTTGCTCAGGGTTCAGTCACAGTGCCCTGCAGGCGGTGGGGTTACGGGGCTGTGCTCCGTATGGGGCAAAGCACCACATTGTGGCTGTTATCTGCTCTGGCAACATTTCATTACAATTTTCTGGGTCAGGATGAGTAAGTTCATGTCCTGAAAAAATTAAAGGTGAACAAGAAAGGCAATGCACATCTGTTCCTGCTGTGTCACAGGTGGGGGCTGAGCCCAAAGGCCTTTCCCATAGGCACGTGCCAGAGATGCCTTTCCCCAGCCCCAGCCATTTACATTAATGAGGCATTCATCCCTCAAACCTGTTTGTGGCCCACTGCGATGTCACCACATGAAAGGGGACTCTCGGGTACCATCCACCCTATGGATGCTGCACAGCCATGTTGGTGGCACCAACAGGAGTGCAGAACGACCCTTGGATGTAAGGAAGAAGTTGTTCACACTGAGGGCAGTGAGACAGCAGCACAGTGTGGTCAGGGCAGCATCCATGTCCCAGTGCAACAGCACAGGGCAGAGCTGCCCCTGCTCCCTGCATGAAACACAACCTCACAGCCCCCATGCAGACCTGTGGGCACAGCAGTGTGGGGCTGCTCCCCCAGAGCATCTCCCATGGGGTCCATTTCCCCATTACTGTGAATGGGGCAGGTCCTGGTGAAAGGGACACTCGGGGCTGGTTTAATGGGGTGGGGGCTGGGGGAGAGGGAAGGGGAAAAGGAGGAAAAAAAAAAAAAAGTAGGGAGCATTTATTCAAAAATATATCTTTATTTTTTTTAGTTTATCGGCTATTTAAATAATCCAGTTAAAATATATTTTATTGCACATGAAAGAACCTTTCTGGATTCTCTCTTTCCTATATAAAATAAGTTCATCTAGAGAGAAAAAGCAAGAGAGGGACTCCTGTACACACACATGCATGCACACTTGCACATTCACTACTCAATACCACAGCAGCCAACCTCCTGCAGGCTGCTCCTGCACATCGAACAGCTGCAGGCAGTGGGAATGGGCTGCAGTGGGCACTGCAGGAGCAGGAGTCAGGCAGGAGCACACAGCAAGGCAGCTAGAGGCCAGGGAGGGGAAGCTGCAGCCCAGAGCAGGGCACACACAGAGGCTGGGCAGTGCCAGCGGCTGCTCTAAGGTGTGTAATAGTGCCTCAAACCATGTTAACTGGAAGAAGCTTGCGGGATACACCATTCATTACTGCAATCTGAATTTGATTTCATGCCCTTTTCAGGTGATTATTTTGGGATGACTGAGGTCCTCCGATTCAAGCTGTGAGTAACTCGCTCTGCACGCACATCTGTGACTGTCCTAACTTTTCATCCCAGAATAACACCTTTGGAATCAGGATCCTAATCAAAATCCACCTCGAGAACCTTCCTCCTATTCACCGTGTGCTCTTTCCAAACCTCTGTGTTTCCCCTTCCTGCATTCCTGAAAGCCTGGGGTTTTTCCCCCAAGTCAAGCCACACAGCAGAGAGCAATTAGTGTTGATAGTCAGTGTGGCATCAATCTTCTACTATGGAGTAACTCCTGTCCACAAATGATGGGGTGCGTGAAGCTGGTTGCTAAGGCAAGTCCTCCTGGCTCAGTGCTGCATCCTGCTCCAACCACCTCCTGCAGTAATTAACTGGGGAATTGGTGTTGTTTGAAGTTCCTAATGTCTCTAAGCCCTCGGCTTTTGTGTCTGAGCTTTGCTCAGAGAGGCTCTGACCGCAAGATCCATCCCTGAATAAGGGTCTGACCCAACAGCCCTTCAGTGCTCGCTGGGTGCGCACCTCTCATCCTGACACAGGGCAGGGGCATCCACCTCCAACCCAGGCACCTGGATGAGGGGTGAAGAGGCATCAGTGCTGCTCAGCCTCCAGCGTGTCGGGGAGCTGCTCCGTGAAGGCGGTCTCCAACCGCAAAGTGCTGTAGTTTGGGGGGGGAGTCCTGGGCAGGTGGCCCTCCTGGGGCACCGGCAGGCGCAGGGCAGTGTTGAAGGTGGGCAGGTCCTCATCGATGCAGGTCGGGTTGTCGTGACCCTGCTGCTCCGCGTCGCCCACCTCGGGGGGTTTGCCCGTCCTGTCCCTTTTCCGGTGATTCCACCACTTCTTTGCTTTCTGCCATTGGCGCCGCATGACAATGGAGAACGAATCGATGAAGAAGACCTCGATGATCTCGATGACGCAGACAACCGAGCAGCTCATCCACAGGCCCAGCTGCCCGCCGAAGTTGGACAGAAGGATGACGAGCTGGGGGACAGGAGAACACAGAGTCAGAGGACACCTGCTGCAGGGATGCCACGCCATGCCCAGGGCTTGCAGGCAGCCCCCCCGCCTGCCACACTGCTCAGGGCAGCCTGGAAAGATGGGCAGGGCAGGGCAGGATGGGACCCCCCCATGGCCAGGTGACAGCCCCCAGCCTGCAGGAGGAAGGTGGCACAGCCCTTGTGCTCCCACTCACTGTGTTGGCAGGGTTCTCTGAGATGAAGCGCTCATTCAGGTCTTTGTAGAACACCATGAGGTTCGCAAGGTCCGTTCTGAGAAGGGGATTGGTAAAACAATAACATGAAACATACTGAAAAACTATGCCAATAACCAGTTGGACCAGTAGGGCTGGGCCGCTCTAAGGGAGCTTTTCCCCCAATTGCCATCATTAAGGCTGCTGAGATCGTATCTGAGCTTGAGGTGCAAGCTAGAAACAGAAATGGCAACTTACTTGTTCAGCTTCTTGTTGATTTTCTGTCCTTTGTCCCAGGAGAGTACTCGAAGCATCCAGTCCTGGAAATAAACACAGAAAATAGTGCTATGGCTGTATGCACTTGTGCAGAGATTCACTAGAAAGGCTCCACACCTCCTGGGACCAGCTTGGACTCCAGAAACAGATGTTTGGATGAGTCAGCTGTCCCACGGGGACATGAGCCAAACTCCAGCTTAACAGCAGACATACACCCCAGACCCCACCTTGGGGTCTGTTAGCAAACTGAGCTGTCACGACTGTGCAGAACAGGAACTGACCTCAGATGCAGTGGAGGGCCACTGGGCAATGCTGGTGGTGAGCGCCCACTCCTTGAAGCTGCAGGGAAAGGCAGAAAGTGAGTGGTGAGCCTGCGCCCACGCACCTCCACACCTCCTGCCTCTGGCAGGACTCACCTGCAAGCATCCTTGCAGATCTGCTGGCAGCCCAGCTGCTCCTTCACAAACTTCTCGTGCAATCTGTAGTAGCAGTACACTGCAAGAAAGGAACATGATGGGTATTTAAAAAGCTGGAAAGAAAAGCAATGATCTTTTGCTGGAATGGGGCTAACAGGGTGCAGGTGGCCCCTGTGGCCATCTCCTGGCACTTACTCCAGTTGGGGTTCTTCTTGTAGTTGCAGTACTCCGCCCCATTGGGCAGCGGCTGCGCGTACTGGGCACAGCCACAGGACTCCACCATGGCTTTCTGGAAGCAGGAGTGCAGGCAAATCTGGGAAGAAAAAACACGCTGTGCCTCAGAAATACAGACTGCTGCCCTGTGTTTGTGTAGCACTGCCCCTCAGCACCGCCCTGCTCCTGACAGCAGCAATAGAATGAGAACCCCAGGCTCTGCCAGCAGTGAGCACACGCAGAGCAGGAACTCTGCAGGTTGTGATGTAGTGCAAAAACAGGAATGTAATCACTGTGAGGGGAGATGCTTCCTTCCCTCACAGCCCTGCAGTTTTTCCCATGGCCAGGGAGGTTTTCAATGGCACCCAGTCTGTGGAATCACAATGTGGTGGGTGAAAATGTTCACGACTCTGATTTGTGTTGGTGCAAATTTGGAAATCAAAAATTGGAAAGAGCACTGGAGGCAGTTTGATGCTGAACTGCTTCACGAGTTGGAGTAAGCATGATCTGAGCTTTGCTTCTAGAACTCTGGGTGATATCTTTTTTACCCAATCCCAGGTCACTTGAGCTTTGAGTTCTGGTGAAGAACTGTTATTAAAAACCTGAGATAACATCTGTGTGATCCTGCCTGGCACAGCAGATTTCAGGTATAGTACACATAAAACAAAAACCCAGCCTACGCACAGGGTTTGCAGAAGGCAGCAGCTAATACAGTTATCATTCTTCAGTTGTTCTGACACTATCCAAGAAGACCCAATTACAGAAACCATGCAAAATTAGTGGAAACTTACTCTGCAAACAAACATTCTGCTATCTGGATACTGATTAGATGGTATCTGTTATTCTTGGAGTCCTAAAGGTCACAATTTCTGGCTTCAAGGGTTACTAAGCTGCAACATTTACTTGGCCAATATTTTCCAGTCTCACATTGCTTGAAAATTGCCTAATGAGCTCATGTTCCCTCTTTATCTAACAAGGTGCCTAAGGGAACTTCAAACATCAACCACTTAGGAATAAAACTTGGATTCAAAAAAGTGCTGTGGCATTTTACATTGGTGATTAAAAGCAGTGACCCTGTGCATGTACTGTTAACAATCTCAGATCTGAACTACAGAATACTGTTCAGCTTTTCATGAAGGTAATTTTCAAGCAATTGATAAAAACAAATGCAATAGAGATTTACCTGGAGGGAGTAGCTCTTGTTATAGAGGTTTTCTACAGGTATATCAGCACCAGTCTCTGTGCAATCACTGTAGGGTTTGCTCAGCTTGCGGGACCGTGTCTGAGAATAGGAAAAGAACAATCTCAAGTTCTGGGCATCACAGAATGCACAGCATTTAGCAGCAGTTCATTGGGATTCTAAGACCTGAAGTGATGGGAAAGGTTGGAACAGCATCTTTACTTTCTGTCATCTCAAATGATTATAAAGGGGTTTTTGATTTGTAATGCTCATTTCCCAAAAGTGCCCTAGCTGGGCTCTCTCTGGTGTCTCTCTGTACCACCTCTGCAGGGGTGCTGTGGTGAATCACTGTAACAGTGAATGGCTTCTGTAGAAAATCCTCACACCAGGTTTCTCTCCCTGCAGGGTCCCAGGGACCATACATCACTCATCCTGAGGAGAAGGCCCCAGGGCTGCACAGCCCCGTGCTGCACTGAGCTGCTCCTGCCCTGTGGGGAGTGGCACTTCAGGCTCCACCAGTGCTCAACAGCACCTCTCCAACATCACTCCAAGTGAAATGTTTGTGTCGCCCTCAGCACCGTTTCCACGAACTGCTCTGACCCTTCTGTTGATTGCTCGCAGCTTTCCCTGTTCTGCAGTCTCTGCCCAGAGAAAAGAGCTCTGCAGTGCCACGTGCTGTGCTCACATGTGACTTGGATCCCTCACATTCACCAGACCCCATCCAGGTAACACCACTGCTTCCTGCAGCCCTTGCCTCCCCCAACCCCATATTCCCACTGTCTTCCTGCTGACATTATCCACTTTATGGCAAAGAAAGCGGCCTGAAATGACAAGAAACAATGCATGCTTCAGAATCCATTCACTTGTCAGTGTGAACGGAGTTTGAATCAGTGGCTGAGCCTTCAAAGGACCCATTTTGTAGGAAGTGACAGATGCTGCCTACCTCTGAGGCACTGACTGCAGACCAGCGGGTTCCCGAGGCCACGCCTGGCACCAAGCATCACCCCTCTTTCTCACTGCAGGAATGCCAACTCTGCAAGCATGGACTTGGCAACAGAAAGCCCTGGCGTGCCACTGCAAGTTGCTGCTTTTAGAAATATGCTCAAAACTCTCTTTGCAGGGATACAGAAACTTGGGACTTCAGCATTACAGACAACCTGATGCCTCAGAGGGTACTCTCTGGCAGATGATAGATTCTTCGTACAGATTTTTCTTTTTGTCATGGCTTATACCCCTGCAAAAGCATACTTCATTCAGGCACTGAAATAATTTCCAAACTAAACATTTACCTGAAGTACTGAAACTCCTACCAAACAATGCCTTGTTTGCATTCCTAACATCTTGGAATATTTTTAGAGGGAGGGCGGTCCTAGTACCCAGCAGAAATACATGAGCCATAGCCCAGACACTGATGTCTGCATTTGATAAATGGCCCTGGTCATGCTCAGGCCTACAGAGCAGTGCTGTGTGTGGCACATGGCTGCTGTGTCCTCCTTCACACTCTTGGATGTGGGGACATGGCTGAGCCAGCAGTTTGGCTGCAGCCTGCTGGGCCAGCTCCCTGCAGCCCTGCTTGGCTGCAGCACTGCTCACCTCTCTGCAGCCCTGCTTATCTCCCTGCAGACCTGCTTGGCTGCAGCCCTGCGCCTGCCTCCCTATTTCCCTGCAGCACCACACTCTCTAGGATCAGGCTACTGCTTTGGGTCCAGACACCAAGTCCAGCTTCTATTTCAGCTGATACTTTTAGGATGTAATCAGACCAAATCTTCATGCCAAATCTTTTGAACGCAGCTACCAGGATGTGTTCAGTCTTGTTTTTTATGCTATGTGCAATAGCCCAAACGTACTGTGCCAGGGAACTTTTACAGTAAATACTGATGCTCCATCTGCAATGACTTTCTCCCATGCAGTGCATGAGTTATAGAAGAAATACAGTTTGGCAAGAGCTTGCCTCCTTTCATTCTCATTTTGATGTTTCCCGTTTGCTTTCTGGTTTTCAGGCAGTTTATCCCTGCTGGTTCCACCAAGCAGCTGGTGCCCGTTTTCCAGTCCTAACTATCTGTACATTTTAAAACCATCAACTCTGTCCTTAATGCCTTTTGTAATGCAGGGAGTATCTTGATCTGGCACACCCAGGGGCATACAAGGGCAGGCTGATCAGTTTGACCCATCAGTGATGAAAGGGCAGAGCTAAAAGGCTCCCCTAACAGCCCATCCACATGAAAGGGGAATGCCTGGCTCTGCTGACAGCACTGCTCTATGCGGGAAGGAGCCCCGTGGGTCAGGTGTCTGCGCTGAGCTCACTGGGGAAATCTGTGAAATCTGGGGTGAAGGCAGAACCACTGCCACCAAGGTTTACTTTGCAGCTGGGACAGCAAGAAACCAAACAAAACAAGATGTGCACCCTCCAAACTGCTGTGGTTTGGTCATCCCACAGATCTGGCCCTAAAGCAGGCTGCCACCACCCCGCTCAGCCTCTGCTGACCCTGCAGCCATACTGGGTGTTTGGTTGCCCAGGGCTGTGGCTGTGAGCTCTGCAGTGAAAACAACAAAAACCCTGGAAAGCCAAAGAGATAGAGAAAAGGAAGGGCAAAGCAAATCCCCAGGAGTGGCAGCTTTATGAAGACCTGATCTTTGACCTGCACTAAGGAGAACTTTGCTCAGAAAAGTGCTGTCAGGATTTTCCTGGGGGCACTTCAGCTGTACAGATGGGGTACCAGCTGCCTCCACAGCTGTGGCTGTGTTTGAACACCGTCTCAGCTCACATTTACATCTGTTTCATGGAAATAGTGCTGTGCACCTTGAACCTTGAGGACACTCACAAAGTGCATCCCTATGGAGGTGGCCGCCGCCGTCTCAATTTCTGTGCCAATGTCCTCAATGAAGGGATATTCATCTTGGTCGTGGACAATGATCTTGGCTCCTGTTGACGTCACCAGGAAAGGATTGTAGTCTGCTTCGTCGATGTACAGAACAACCTGCAGCCCTGAAGGACAGAGAATCAGGGGCTGCGTTATACCAGAGCCAGAGCCCACTTGTTCTGAGCAGGATGGGCAGCAGTGTGCTGAGCCTTAAGTGCAGTTTAAGAACCAAGTGATGCCTCTGTTGTGCTAGACAGCAAGCTGTGGCCCTGCACAGCCCCAAGTACAACAAACAGACGGTGTCTCCTCGGAAGGAGCAGAAATTACTTTAAGTTATATAACCGGGAAGCAGTAATTTCAGATTGGAAAACATTAGTGATGCAATGATATTATCTTTGTATTCTCTGGCAACAGTTTACACTAGTTCAAACAAGCACTTCCCCAATCAGGCTGCACATCTAGAGCCAACACATCAGTCACCCTCCAGCAGGATCCAGTTTGCTGAGCAGCATGCTGACAGCTCTGCCAGCTCCTTACCGTACTCACTGCCGCCGGTGGAGGTGCTCAGCACCGTCCCGTTCTCCCCACTGTTGAAGGTGTAGCAGTTGCCATGCAGGGGGTGATGGAAACGGGTGAAGTGCCTGAGAAATCAAACATTGTTACATTGCCCCCTCTGCAGTTTTAACCGTCTCTGGCAGAAACTCAGCAGGTTTGGATGTTGCTTTGGCAGAGACAGAGCAGGATTGGATTTTTCTTTTTTCTTAAAAATGCTTCCCCTTCCCCACCCTCCCCTTCCTTAATATCTTGAAACTACACGGAAACATGACCTGGTTTAACAGCACCAGGAAATTAAAAGTTTTGGAGGTTTTCAGGGGGGAGTGGGGACTCAGAATAACTGAGCTAGCAGGAAAGGGGCAGTGGAGGGCAGAGTCCTTTTTCATCCAACAGCCTAGTGTCTATAGGGACACAGACCTTCACTTTGCAGGAAAGATGCCATAGCCACTGCCATGTCACACCCTCGTGATTCAAGCACGTTCATGTTTTTCCTGAGAATCTCCCCTCCCACTCAAGCAAACGCTGTAATTCCAAGAAAATATTACATACTTGCATGATCACAGACACAAGCAATGTGCTTCCAGAAAAGATTCAGCAATGCCTGCTGAGCACAGCCAGCTTTGCACATGGCAGTGGGAAAACTGCCAAAGCCATGTACAAGTGCAATTCTATCCTGATGGCTGCACCTGGGAGCTCTGCTGTTGTCCCCAGCATTGAGGGATGTTTTCACTGCTGCCAGGGCACACAGCAATTGCACTGCAGTAATTGTAAGCAGGTGGACCTGATTACGTCCAAAACAATTATGTCCAACTAATCCAGTTTTATCTGAAACGTGGACAGCAGAAACTAGGATAAATAAAACTAAAGACCGTAACTGAAGTTCCTTAATACGTGAAAGTTTCCTTTCATTTAGAAGTGGAAGTGGTTCTTACTGGAATTCAGCAAACACCAAACATTAAATTTCTCTGTACTATACACTTACACTTGGAAATAAGCTGTTAACTGGCACTGACCTTTTGTCACAAGATAGGCCATCAAAAAAACATGTCAGTAGAAGGTCATCAGCAGAATAACTCAATTCTTCTTTCGTCTCCAAGGGAATCTGTGCCATGATGTTCATGTAATGCAGCTTGTACCATTCTTGGATAGCATTAACACCAGAACTGAATGTATAAAGTGCACAGTCACTGCTGTTGTTTGCATCGCACTGACAATTACAAAGGGGAAGAAGATTTCAGATGGAAAGAAATGACATGTTCTATCAAGTATGCCTGGTATACTTGATATTATTTCTTTCAATAATAATCACGTGACATTACAGTGGCAGCAAGTGACAAAACAAGTGACAAAAGGGCACCAAAGACCTTTCATCTGGGGCCGAACTGTTTGACCAAATGTTTCAGGCCCACGGAATGGCATTAGGTCTACGTTGGCTGTACTTCACTGTTGACATTTCTATTCCAAAGAGTTGGAGGTGGGTATGCAGGCCACCATGGAGGCACAGCAGAATGGGTAAAAGAGCAGACAGAGCTTTAATTGCTGCCATTAAACAAGCAATAGATCTGTCCAGTGGGATACCTGCCCCAGCCCCTTTGCCATCCCACAAGGAACGAGCCGGCCAGGGAAGGATGGCACTCACCAATTGGAAGCCGATGATATCATTTGAATCTCCAGAGTTCACTATGGACGAGTCCTTGTGGAAGACGCTGCCCTCCACTTTCCTCTTCCGCCCACTGTGGAGGTCGATGGCGGTCCTGAAGGAGTTCTCTAACCTCAGCAGTGGGATCTGCCTTGAGAACAGGCTCCCGGTGCCGTTCCAGTTGCCCGCTGCCCGCCTCACCTTGGACTTGCCCTCTGAGAATCCATAGAACGTCTCCAATGCTTTTTTTGTCTCTTTGTCCAACTCAGACAAATAATCTTTCATCGAACTGTACCTGCATTGGAGAAAACGTGAGAAATCACATTGTTCACCTCATCTTCCACCCAGTTAGACCCATCTGCACCACAAATCCCATCACTCAGGAACACTCTTTGTCACATAGATTTTCTGCAACCCCGCTAAGTTAAATCAGCATGGGTAGGGGGAGTGAAGGGAAAGGACCATCAGGAGGATGCTGACCGTGGAGAAACCTCCCCAGGGTGCTGAGCTGCTAGAGGGATTGCAGGCAGACCAAGGAGCAGCACAGGTGGGGACACAACCCGCACAGGTAACCAAACGGCACCCGTGGAATGTGGGGGGGGGGGGACCTGGGGGAAGCCGGCAGTGGAACGGACCTCGGCAGAAAGCATGGCACGGCAGGAAAAAAGCACTGCTGATTGAAAAAGGCAGAGCATCCCGCGAGGGATGGAAAAGGTGACAGAGGAAGGACAGCTGCTCCCTTCGCAGTTCTCAGGAGACGGCTCTGCTTGTAATGCCAGTCTTGGGAAAAGGTTATCTGACCGGAGCCGCAGAGCAGAGCGGACCGCCTCCAGCACAAAGCCGCCCGGAGCGGAGGCTCAGCGTGCAGCGGGAGGGCCGGGAACGCAGCGCGGGGCGCGGAGCGTCGGCGCCGGGCGGGACGGGAGGCGCCGGGCTGCTGGAGGACCGCAAAGGGACGGGACGCGGGACGCGAGGAGCCGGGGGATGCGGGACCCCCAGCGCCGGCCTTACTTGTAGGGGTTGATGTTGCAGATGGTGACGGCGGGGAAGGGCAGCTTCTGGAACTGCACGGTGACGGACACGGACGCGCTGTAGTAGTTCAAGAGGAGCTCGGCGCACTGCCAGAGGATCAGCCCCACGGCGCTCAGCGTCAGCAGGATCCAGATGAACCTGCGCAACCGCCCGCGGGACACCACGATGCGGCGGCAGCCGTGCGTGTTGGTGTTGAGGCAGTACCAGCGCATCAGCTCGCGCAGCGTGGGCGCCTGCGGGCCGCGCACCGGCAGCGTCTTCTTGATGCGGGCGGTGATCTTCTTCCCGGGGGCCATGGCTGCGGGCGGAGCGGGGCCGTGAGCCGAGGGCGGCCGCGTGGGAGCGGAGCGGGACGGCGCGCCCCGTCCCAGCCAGCCCCGCTCCTCGGGCTCGGCGCTCCGCCGCGCACAGCCGCGATCCGACGCTCCCGCCCGCCGCGGCGTTAACCCAGCGCCTCCCGCTCCCGCCCCGTTTAATGCCGTCAAACGGCGTTTTTTTCCCGAGAAAACCGCATCGCCCCCCGCGCCCCTCACCTCGCCCGTCCGGGCCCGACGGGGCCATGCTGCTCCCGGCCCCGGCGCCGCTCGGATGGCGCTGCGGGCTCCCGCCCCGGCACTACCCCGCCGCCCGCCCCCGGCCCGCCCCGGCCCGCCCCCGCCGCGCTCCGCGGGCGCCGAGCGCCGCCAGCCGGCGGGGGGGTGGAGACCCGGCGCGCGCGGGGCCCGCCTCGCCCTCAGTAAAGGTGGCGGCGGCGGCGCGGCGTCAGCCCGAAGCGGGGATGGCGGCGCGGTCACGTGACGCCGCGCCCCGCCCCGCCCGCCGCATGGCGGCGCCGTGAGGCGGCTGCGGGCCGCGCGCGGAGCGGGCCTGGCCGGGCGGGTCGTGGGGATGCGCGCGGCGCCGCCCGGCCATGTCGCGGGTGAGCGGCCCCGGGCCGGCGGGCAGCGCCAAGGAGAAGCGCTCCTTCAGCAAGCGGCTCTTCCGCGGGAGGGCGGCGGGCGGCGGCGCGGCCCCCGCCCCGGCCGCCGCCGCCGCCTCCTCCTCCCCGTCCGCGGCGCCGGGGCGGTCGCTCGGCGGCTTCATGAGCCGCGTGCTGAAGACCCTCTCCACGCTCTCGCACTACAGCAGCGAGCCCGAGCCCCGCGGCCCGCAGGCCCCGCGCCTGCCCCCGCCGCGAGCCGCCGGCGGCCTGGGCAGCTGCCTCCCGCCGGGCCCAACGCGGCGCCCCGAGCCCCCGCCGCCCGAGCGCGGCTCCGAGGCGGTGCCCGGCGTGGCGGGGCTGCGCAACCACGGCAACACCTGCTTCATGAACGCCATCCTGCAGTGCCTCAGCAACACCGAGCTGTTCGCCGAGTTCCTGGCGCTGGAGCAGTTCCGCGGCCCCGCGGAGCCCGGCCCGCCGCCCCCCGCGCCCGGCGAGGTGACGGAGCAGCTGGCGCAGCTGGTGCGGGCGCTCTGGACGCTGGAATACACCCCGCAGCACAGCCGCGACTTCAAGGTGAGACGGGCGGAGCTGCGCGGCTCTCGGCCCTGCGGTTCCGCTCGGCGGGAGCGGGCCTCGGGCCTGGGCTCGGTTCGGTGGCCGGGCCGCTGCCGTGTGTCCGCGTGTCCGCGTCTCCGGCGTGAGCGGCCCGAGCCGGAGGCCCGGCGGCGTCGCGCTGCTTCCCACGTGCCGGGGCCGCGGTTAGGCTGACGCCGAAGGAACGGGTTCTCGCCCGCTCTGCTCCGTGTCCCGCCGCCGCCCGGGCGCTCCCACCGTCGGCCGCGGAAGGTTTGTCGCCGCTTTGGGTGAGCTCGGAACGCTCGTGGCTGCCCGCCCCTCAGGAGGAGCAGAAGCCCCGCACCCGGTGCGGCAGCCAGCCTGTTGCTTTCCGCTGCACGGTGAAGCCGCCGGCGGCTCTGCGCCTGATGCTGGAGGTGCCCGTTTTGCTGTTTCATGCCTGTTGTGCTGTGGTGCCCAGCTGCAGCTTGCTGCTGTATGGGGCTGCTGGCATGGGACGGGGCCCCGAGCCCTCTGTCCTACCGCCGTGCTGCTGGAGCACCTTGGGCTTTGCCCTCGGCTCTGGCTAGCACAGAGCCCTGCAGCAGGTGCATTCTGTAGCTGTGGGTCAGAGGCACGCTGGTGGAAAAAGGAGAGCCAACATCTGGTGGGGAGCATGAGGTGCTGCCACCCACCCCATGGTGCTACTTAAGCCGCCCCCCAACTTGTGAGGGTTCCCTGGCAGCAGCAGGTGTGAATTTCTCATGGGTAATGATGAGAAGCTTGAGGAGGCAAAGCTGTCTTTTGCCAATACAGATGATAAAGGGGAGAGCAGAGCAGCCCTGAGGCCAAGAAGCGCTATGCGCAGGCTTGGAGTAGAGGTGCTTGGGTAGGGGTGGCAGAACAAGAAGGGAAACAGAGCCATGTATTCAGCTCAGGCTGTGTTCCAAGTTCTTCTAATCGTGGAACTTTCTTTGCCCACTGGCTGCCATCACTGACAGTGAGTGCCTGCCTGGTCTGTGCTGGGGGAACTGAAGCCATCAGGCCCCCCTGCTGTGTCCCAAAGCCTCATGCTGGGGGTCGGTCTGGTGCAGGTGGGTCCCAGAGCTGTGCCCAGGGTTAGCTCACAGCGACCTCGGCATTGAGGTAAGCGTGCAGCTGCTTCCTCACTGGGGTCAGTTACTTTCAGTAGTAAATGAATGCCTCTGAAGACAGTTAAGTAGCGTGAACCTGCTATTAAATTCACTGTTCTTAATTAAAGCTTTCTTCAGCAGGTTTGCATGGTTTATTTAAAGGTGTAAACAAGAAGCTTACGTGTAAGGAAGGTGAAGGTTGGTGCTTTCGCTCTGGAAACTGCTGTTTTCCCCACGAGAACATCCCTCAAAGCCCATTTCCTTTTTTGTTTGGAATGGTGAGAAGCGTTTTCAGGAGTTGTTCTGCACCTTCACTCCGATGGCAATGCTTACTGACAATTATATTCTGCTTGCAAAGCTCTTTAGGCAGCAATAAGCAGTAGGTGTGGGGATTTTTTTTGGTAGTGCTGGGTATAATGGGGTAAAGACAGTTTCTGATCTCTGTGTGCTTATCTGCAGGTGCTAAGCGCTTTTTAGGATACGGGATAAGTATTATCTCCTGGCTTGTTCTGACATCCATAGGCTTTGTTCTTGGGGCAGAGAAGAAGGTGCTTCAAGGGAAAGCCTCTCTGGCTCATTCAGGATGGAGACCTTTGGGGTTGATGTGGAAGGGGCTGTGAGTGAGGGGCTGTTGTTCCTCCACAAGCTTCCCAGGAGGAGATGTTCCACACTGCGGTAGAGGAGGCAGGTGCAGCTTTGGGCGACCTCCCCTCCGGCCTCGTACTCTTTCACAGTTGTTTGAGCAACCACTTTCTCCTGGTGTGCAGTGGTTTTTATTTTCCTGCCTAAACAGAACCGCTGCTTTCATAACTGGGGCCAGTATTGCAGCTTGCGCTTCCTTTTTCCCTTTGTGATGGTGTGACAATAGCAGCAAACACACATTGTGTCAGCAGTAGCCGTGCTTGGGGCTCGTTGTTTGCAGGGCACTGTCCCGCTCTCCCCCAGAGCTCTGTCCATCAGCAGCAGGGACAGAGTGCCCTTTGTGCCAGGAACAGGGGAGCTGCGGGGGGAGAACTTCTATTGAAACTTACTGGGCTTGAAAATTGTATACCCGTACCCAGATCCTCTGCTTTTGTCTTTCCTGGAGTTATGATCTCCTGTGGATGGTGAACTTATTTGCTGTTCTGAGGCTTTCCTCATCACTAGGCTGGCTGCACACTGGAGCACTCTGATGTTCTCCAGGGCCCTGCTGTACTTGTGCTGCCCCGGTTTCTTTTCCTGCCCTACAAGATGAAACTGCCTGTAGTGTGTACAGCAAATACAGCAGAGCCATAGGAATGGGATGGAGCTGGATTATCGGAATTAGATCTGGACCCAAAGCAAATCCCTGTTAGTGGAGCAGGGATTATTGTGCCGAGTAAATATTGCCATTTCCATTTTTTTTTAAACCTGTGCAACCAGTAACAACTAATAGTAGCAGTGTGTAACTTAGTTCTACAGTCTGGTGTTTTGGAAAGCTCTTGGTGTAAATATTGTGCTTGGGATGAGTGGTCCATCGGCTGTATTTAGTTTCTGTGGGATTCTGAATATCTGCAACCTGTGAAGCAACTCCTGTGGACACAGCCAGCCTTTGGCCCCCTGCTCCGAGAAACGAGGACAGTGCTGTTTGAGTCCCCCTGCTGTGACCTGGCCCCATGGTTCCTGTGTTCCTCAAGCAGGCAGAGCTGGGTGCTGTGGGGCCTTGAGGTGCTTGCCTCAGTTCAGCCCCTATTCTCCTGTTGGCATTGCCCATCCCTCCTTCCAGCTGCAGTCCCCGTGTTCCTGCTGTGTGGTGCCACTGCCCTGTGTCTGGGTGGCCCTCCTGGCTGCTCTGCCCTCTGCAGCGGGTCTGTGTCAGCATTGGGTCTGTGCTCCCATGGTGGGTCCAGGACCCCCACTGACCATGGGTCGCTGGTGGCCTTGGCTCTGTCCCCACGGCTGTGGATGGCTGCCAGGCCGGAGCTGTTGTTTCCCAGGTTTTGCTTTCCCTGGAGGGGAAATCTTTCTTTGAGAGGGGAAGTTGCCATGTTTGTGTGTGTGTGACCTCTTAATGAGGTGTCTGTTTAGAAGCTACCCAAAGACAAAGCTGTCTGTGGATTAAAAACAACACAATCTCTGCCCAAGCCCAACTTCACAATGTTCGATGACGGATGAATAATAGGCTTTTTCCTGCTCACGTGTGTCATTGTTTCAGGGCTGTCATGAGCCAGTTCCATCTGTCCATGTCCACAAACCTTTCAACAGCTGCTTCCTACCAGAGGCACACTGGAAAACAGCAGGCTGACATTTTCCCTTCAGTTGTCTTTGCCACCTGGAATAAAAACAGCAGCAAAGGAGTGTCCGGTGGTTCAGCTATGCTCGGCTTTATTTATGGCGTCTATTTAGAGCAATAGATGATTAAACTTTCATTGGGCTGATAAAAACGATAATGCATCTTTGCCGTAAATCAGCTTTGTGGACAGACAGGGACTTGTTTGATTGTGGGGTGCTTGCATTAGGGGGCTGGATATCTGCGATCAACACAACTTATGATTTCCCTTTTCTCTCTTCTAGTAGTGCCGCTTCCATTCAGGGTGTCTGAATGCTGGGAGGATCTCACCCTGTTGGCTAAGGGTGGTGGGTCCCCAGGGCCCATTCCCTCACTGCTGCTCACAGCTGGAGCAGCTGCACTGCCCTGTGAGATGGAGCCTGGTGGGATGTGCCACCTCTGCTTGCAGCCCAGATTAGGGGCAGGGGATTAAAGGCTAGGAGGTTGGTGGATGTGCTGTTCTTAATGTGTTTTTATGCATGTTTAAACCATTTGCTTCTTAACTCCGTATCTGCAGCCAGTCACAATTGCTGCTGCTTTATTGCACGGTTCAAGCAAGAACAAATCTGCTTGTAGCAATGGCAGCAGGAAGCAGGAGGAGCACTGGGAGCACACTGCTGGTGCTGGAGTGTTTTGGGAGCACAGACTGCAATCTGCAGGCAGCCCTTGGTGCACACAGGATCTGGCACCCAGGTCTTTGCCAAAGCCGTGCCAGGTGTTGT